CAAAGGAAAACTATGCTGAGATACTACCTCACGCTCATTTGGCTGGCTACTATTAAACAAACAAAACGCCCGGTGTTGGTAAGGACGTGGAGGCTCTGAAATCCAGTGAACTACTGGTGGGAATATAAAATGGTATAGCCGCTGTAGAAAACAGCATCGTAGTTCCTCAAAAAATTAAAAATAGAATTGCCATGTGATCCAGCAATTTCTCTTCTGCATATATGCCCAAGAGAAAAGCAAAGTCTAGAAGAGACATCTGTCTACCCACATTCACAGCACCATTATTCACAATTGTACAGACATGGAAGCAATACAAGCATCCACTGAGTGAAGAATGGATGAGCAAAATGTAGTACAGGCATACAATGGAATCTTAGTCGTAGATAGGACCAAAATTCTGACACATGCTAAACCATAGATGAATTTTGAGGACATGACGCTAAATGAAAGCAGCTAGTCACAAAAAAACAGTATGGTGGATCAACTAACAGCTAGCTGAACTGAATCAGTGTGGTGCTGGGTGTGGAAGGCCCACCTGAGGATTGTTGCCAATGCACAAAAAGAGAACTGGAAGGGACGATGGTGTGCTGTGGAGTCTCCTGGAGAAGCTTGTCGCGCTGGCTTTCCTGATAAGAACTCAGCTGTTCTCATCTTCGGAGGAGCTTGGGTCCTCAATGTCAATGAGGATGGCTGTGGCTCACTTCAGGGGAGCTCCGGTCCTTACCTGGAGCATTCCTTCCTGGCTCCTTGCAGATACCTCAGCCTTCTGGCAGATCCTTCATCCCGCTGGCACAGACTTTCTAGCTTCTACCACTGACCTTCGGGCCTTCCCAGCACAGATCTATGAGACAGCCTGCATGAGACATTGTCAAGGGCCCTAGATCTTCAGATTGACTTGTGTAGGACACTGCCAGGGGACCCAGGCACTCAGCTGGATTTTTTGGTGCATAGACAGATTTGTTGTACTCTTTTGCATTTGACTTTTTGGGTAAACACTATAAAATGATCCTATAAATTGTGTCCTGTATTAAATCCATTCCCTTGTAACCCCTGACAACAGATACAGTACTGTGTGATTCCACTTATCTGAGATACTTAGTCCACAATCATAGAAACAGATAGTATAATCAGCTCCCTCTAGCTCTTGAGTCCTTGTTTTGGGGCAATGAAGCTGACAAAACTGCAAGCAGCAAGTGGTGGGGAATGGCCAAATGTGCTTATTAGAAAGAATAAAAGGAAAATCTCTCTGCTAGGTGGAAAGGGGTTCCATTAAGGCAGACAACCTAGATGTTTCAGGTCCACTGGCTTTATATACAGTTCTTCATAGCGGTGAACATGACGGAAAGCAGGGCTGCTCCTAGTTGCAGGTAGGTCTTTGATGTCCAGAATGCAAGCTGCTTTGTTTGCATTTCACTTCCTCCAAGATCTCTCTCATTTGCTTATGGTCTTGTTTGTCCCTTGTTTCATTAGATCCTGATAGTCAGTTTGGTTAAATTAATTATTTGGCTTCTCTGGTATGTTAACTCACTCTAACCCTGACTTTTACTTAGGTTAACTAGCTGTTCAGGACCTGTGCCCAGTCTGCCTCACTTCCCTTATCTCCTCGCTTGAGCAGAATGGTGGCTTCTGGACATAGGGGAAAATGAAGGGTTACTGTTTAATGGTTACAGTGTGAGTTCTGCAAAATGAAAAATTTCTAGAGATGGAAGGTGGTGATGTTTGGGTAACAGTGTGAATATACTTATGCCATGAAGTATATGCTTAAAAAGTTACGGTGGGTATTTCAGTACAATTTTTGTGTATTTTACCACAACTTTTTAAAGTGGGATAAAGTTCTTTACTCTTTCCCATTGTTCTATTACACTTGGTTTATGAAGTAAGATGACTATCTGCTTTCAGTTTGCTTCCTTCAGTTGTTCAATATCTTGTAGTGGCTGGTATGTTGCGCTCTTGCCTACATAGTAGGGCCAGAGACTATTTCTTACTGGTCTTCCCCGCTTGCATGGCGCAACATGGGTGAGTTTTCAGTTATGTACTAGGTTCTGCAAATGATTTTCTTAGGATTGTGTGCTTGGAGACCATTTTCTACACTTCTCCATCTCAGAGAGGGAAAACTGAAGTTTTTGTTTGGTTTTTAATATCTTCCACTATTGTGATTTTTGTTGTTGTTGTTGATGTCTTTACCTGTGATATCCTGCCATTAAGCTTGTTTCCAAGAAACCAATATTCTCAGTCACCTTTGAAAGGAAAATTCTCTTTCCTCTATTTTAAAGGTACCTATTGCTATTCTGTGGCAGTGCTGACTGCAGTCCATTTCTTGGCGTTTGCAGAACTCTTTTACAGTCTTAATAGCATCTGGGCTTTACCCTACAAAAGCAATTCCCAAGGTTTTATCTTAAACACCCTTTAGACTTAGATGGGAAAAAATATTACTGACAAGCTCAGTGTAACTCTGCGGTGGAATGTTTGCTTACATGTGTGAGGCCCTGAATTCCATCCCTAGCGCCAGAAAAAAAAATTTAAAAAAAATTTTATGTATGGACTTCAAAGAATAATTGTAAGTGATAACTAGCAGTATTTACAGCCCGTTAAAAGTTTTTTTTTAATGCACAAGAACATAAAAATGCATTGCACGGCGATGGCGTCTTTACACGTCGTGTGATCACTGGACCTTAGGGAGTGAGCGTGAAAAACGCAAACGACATCTTGATATCGGCAGGGAAACAGTTCCGCCATTCACAGATCCCCTCAACAACGAATCCCCTGCTCTACCCCACTTCACCCCATCCCAAGAGTCCCTGCACCACGTCTTAAGCAGCGCGGCGCGCCCCACATCTCATCTTTCTTCCTCACACCTCTTGGGGCTGCTCCAGCACTAGCCAGAAGCCGGAAGTTGGTGGCCACCAGGAACACCAAAGGATACCAGACTGCTCCTGCTCTAAGGTACCGCACCAGGCGTCAATCGCGTACCCGGGCTCCCTCCTCCCGGCGT